AGGAGCATGGGAGGAACTGCCAGTAGTGCCCCATTCTGTTCTGGAATGAATAGAGAAACCCTCTTCCCAAATAAGGTTTGAATACAAGTGAACTGGCTTGTATTAGAATTTAACTGGCTTGTGTTAGAATTTGCACAATCAAGCTGTCTCTTAGTAGTGGTATCCCAAGACATTCAATAGTTCTGAGGTTTTCATTTATGAGTGATTATTCCAATGTGCCAAAGAAAATGAGTAAGAGAATATATCAAATTTGAACAAAGTAAATCTGTTACCAAGTTTTAAAATCTGTTCACTAAGTCAAACTCTGCTTCTCACTAATACATATTCATAAACATTTGCTTATGTTGCATAAAACAGAATCTAAAGTAGCAAAAACATCACAGAGAAAGACTGGGACACACAGGGATCAGAGAAAACACAGTCCTCAGTCACATAGGAACACATATTCAGTTTTAAATCTTATCTTTCAGCTTAAAAAAAAAAAAGACTCAAATCTCTTTTAAGTTCTAATTATAAAACAAATTTCTATATTTATATTATCTCCATGAACTAGAAATAATCATTGTACGATTATTCAAGTTTCTATTATATTTGAGTTGACACCCTGCAAATATCTCTTTAATGTTACCTTTTAAAAGAACAAAGGCATATTTTAGATTCTAATATGCTGTTGCTATTACCAAAGTTGTTTTGTTTAGAAAAATTAAACCAAATATACAAAGAGCATTTAACTGTGCTCCAGGAACTCTACATACAATATTTTGTTTAATCCTCACCAGAACCTCTGAACAATTAGTGGCTCCATCTAACAGACAACAGAATGCCTCGGGGGAACAGGTAGAATAAAGAGATCCAGACCCAAAGGACTCCAGAGGCCTTCCTGTTACGCCACGCTGAAGTATACAGGATGGAATTGACATAAACGGTCAAAATTTTCTTGCCAATTAAATCATATTCCTCCCATTTCCAAACATAAAAAAATTGAAAGCTAACGTTTAAAACAAAAATTTAATAAAAGGAATGTCTTCCTTCAAACAACATTCTCCTTGAAGACCACTATTAACAATCAGAACTTGCATAGGATTTTATTGTTCATAAATTCCACGTCCTATGCATGATATAAGCATTTTTTTTTTTTTTTTTTTTTGAGATGGAGTCTAACTCTGTCACTCAGGCTGGAGTACAGCCGCACGATCTCAGCTCACTACAACCTCCGCCTCCCAGATTGAAGCAATTATCCTGCCTAG